CCCCCCTCCGCTGGGCGGGGAGATGTGTACCGCCGGATGGAATGCCGCCGCCGGCGGTCATGTTATCAATCACAGGTGGCACGTGCCAACGCCCGCCGGTGGCGCCGACACTGCCCCACACACGAGCGCGCGCCAGACCGCCGGACCGCCGGACCGCCAGACCGCCAGACCACCCACAAGCCCTACACGACGCTCTTCCGATCTCGACACTGCCCCACACACGAGCGCGCGCCAGACCGCCGGACCGCCGGACCGCCAGACCGCCAGACCACCCACAAGCAGAGCACGGTAAGAAGAACGAAGGAAAGAAGTGTCTATGGTGTCTGTTTGTGCGGCCTCCTCTCCCGCCCTGCCGCTCCCTCTCTCTCTCTCTCTTTCTCTCCCTCCTCCTCTTTCTCCCCCTCTCGCACGCACACACGCACGCACGTTCGTACACAACGGGAGAGGAGGAAGAGGGGGGGGGGAGGAAAGAGACGAGGGATTTACACAAGAGGGCAAGAAGCCATGAGGGGGGAGATCGGAAGAGCGTCGTCTCCCCCTCTCGCACGCACACACGCACGCACGTTCGTACACAACGGGAGAGGAGGAAGAGGGGGGGGGGAGGAAAGAGACGAGGGATTTACACAAGAGGGCAAGAAGCCATGAGGGGGGGGGGGGGGGGAAAACGAGGACAAAGGATGCGGACCCAGGGCAAGGCGGAGCAGGAAAGGGGGAGGAAGGCCGCCATGCCCAGCGCTACCGAGGGGCGGTACCTCCGCCGGCCAGCGGCAACGGACTGCCAGGTGCCAGGTCCGGGGAAGAATCAAGGACGGCGCCAGGTTGCGAAGCGCCCAAGGCCTCGGGCGCCAGGGTGCGAGTGGCCGTCAGCGGACTGCGACGGATGACGGTCGTGACGGAAGTGCCGCCCGGCGGCGAGGACACGCCACCCTCATCATCGTCCGACCCGCCGCCGGCGCCAGGATCATCATCTTCATCGTCGGACCCGGCGCCGCCACTGGCACCGGGGGTGGCGGCCGCCGCGGTCGCCGGGGCGGCTGTTGACGCCGCCTCGGTGCTAGCCAGCCGCTGGCGCTTGTTCGAGTGCTTCTGGTTGTGCTTGTTGATGAAGTCCAACAGCATGATGATGGCCCGGAGGATGACATTCGGCAGGGGGTCCGACGATTGGATATCCACGAAGGACTGGTGCGCATGATGCACGCACAGCCGGGCCAGATCGTACGCCGAGCCGGTCACCTTGTCCCGGTAGATCCGGCGGATGTCCCGCTTAATTTCATTCACGGCGTAGCGGATGTTTTGCGTGGTCTTGGTCGAGAGCTTGGTCGAGCGGAGCATCTGCCGGGCCTCCTTGACCGACATGGTGGAGAATGGCAACACCGGCCCGGGCCGGGTGAAAGTCCGCTGCTCCAGGTGCGCCAGCAGGTTGTACATGACCGGATCCACGTGCGTGCCGGGCGACGAGCCGAAGAAGGAGATGGCCGCCAACGAGGCATTGACCGATGGCGAGCCCGGGGGGAGGGGACCCCCGGCGGCGCCCGGTACCCCGGCGGCCCCGCCAGTCCCGCCAGCCGAAGGAGCCACGCGTCCGGGAGCCGGCGAAAGGAGCCCCGGCCCACCGGAACCCGGTGCCCTGGCCGCCACATCAAAGCCCCGGTCATCCTCCGGGTCGTCATTGTGCGGCACGCCGGCCAGCGGGGCGCCGGGAGTGGCCGACCCACCAAGCGACGGGCTTGCCGACGATGACAGAAGGTCCAGCCCATTGACCAGCCCGCTGGGGGAGGGGCTGCCAATGCCATCGAGCCCGGCGCCGGCCGGGCGCAGCACCGGCGACCCGGTGCCACTCAGCGACGGACCGGCGGACGCAATACCGCCGGGCGTGGCGGTGGCAGCCGCGCCCGTGGCCGCAGACACCGCCGCCGAGGAGGACCCGGTGACCTGGGCACCACCGCTCGCGGCATTGGCATTGGCCCCGGCCGGCACATGCCCAGCAGCCACCATCGACGGGGGGAAGCCCCCGAGCATCGGGCCATTGGGCGTGTGCACGACCACCGGCGGGTGGGCCGCAAACCCGGGCAGCGGCTGGTAGAGGCCGCCATACCCGCCGAGGCCCCAGCTGGGGATGCCAATCAGCCCGCCGAGATAGTTGTTCGGGGGAACCTGCCGACCGGAGGCATCGGTGCCGGGCTCCGAATTGCCAGGCGCACTCGGGGCATTGGTGCCACCAGCGCCAACATGGCCGGCCCCCGGGCCACGCGGGTCCACCAGCCCGGCAGTCGACCTGGCGGGGGGGACGGCTCGCGCGGCCCCGGCCCCGGCCCCGGCTCCAAGAATGCCAGATTGCAAAACATGCGAAAGCTCATTCAGCAGCGGTGGCAGGCGATCGGCCATCAGCCGCGCCTGGGACATGGTGTCGGCCGAGGGCTGGTCGGCCACCCGGTGTGACAGCCGATCGATGGCCTGGAAGAGGACACTGAAGAGCGATGCCACTTGGGGATTCAGCAGGTGCAGCTGGGTGATGGTGGCCCCGATGGAGCTGGTCATGCCGAAGCGCGACAAGTCCCCGCCGACCAGCTCGACCAAGGAGCTATAGTTCCCGTCGGCCGAATAGGTGTCACTTTGGGACCCGGCCACGGCCGAGGCGGCCAGCGTGACCGGAGCGGCGGACATCTGAGACCGCGCGGCGGTGGCCGTGGCCGTGGTGGGGGGGGTGGGGGTGGCGTTGGCGGCCAGCGCATCGGCCCCCGGGAAGCGGCTCGGCATCCGAACTCCGGTATTGGTCCCACCGAAGAAGGGGGCCTGCCCGGTGGGTGAGATCTGCGGGGTAGAAGGAGAGGGGGAGGCGGAGTGCCCCGCCGCCACGAAGGAGGACATCTTTATGAGGGTCGGGAGTGGTGGTGGCGGCGGCGGCGGCGGCGACACTGGTAGCGGGCTCCCTCGCGCGCACTCTCTCTCGTTCTTGTGGGGTGCCTGATGAAGGGGAAAGGGGGGGGGGAGGGCGAGAGAGAGGGAGAGAGAGAGAGAGGGAGGGAGATGGGGAGACTCTGTCTGGGGTGGCAATCAGGGCATGGAGGTCAGTCGGGCGCCGGCCCACGAAGAGGCCCGCCAAACGGAAGACAGAAAGAGAGCCGGCGAGGGGGGGGGCGGGGGCGGGGGCAGCAAACGTACGACGACGGGACTGAGGCGGCGCGGGGAACAGAGATGCCTCGGGGATCCTGTCTCGGAGGGCTGACCAAGGGGCGGAGAAGGAGGGAGGTCAGCACTTGTGTTTAGACGCCTGGTGGATGTGTGTGATGTTGACCCCGGCGAGGCAAGAGAGAGGGAGAGGGGGAGAGGGAGAGAGAGAGAGAGAGAGAGATAGGGAGAGGGGAGAAGGAGGGCAAGGACATACGCGGGGCGAGCGGGCTCTGGAGAGCGAAGCAGGAGGCGCGAGAGGGTCAAAGGAAGACAGGGGAGGAGAGGAGAGGAGAGGGAGTGTGGGTGGCCGGTTGCCTGCAGGGCTCAGCTCGTGGGGTGCTTCCTCTAGGCAGTGTTGACAGTGCCATGCGCGGCCGCCCGCGAATGCCACAGGCCAAGCGGCAGAAGTCACCCCACCCGGAGTGACCGCCCGCCGGCTGTGGTGGACGCGTGTGCCAGGCCCCCCCCCCCCCCCCC